CTTCAGGTGTCCATGATTTTACAGGGACTCATATCCTGAGGAACTGAGGCAATTTTTGTTCATGGCTAACTTAAAACATTTACAACTACCAATATCACTTCCCTTCCCTCTTTTTCTAAGGTCAACCATTACATAGATCCAAGAGATTCACTTTGGAGCACATACATCCTCAAAGTGAAATCAGTGCCTTTGTCTGAAGTTCATCTCACTAAACAGCTGGGCTTAAAGCTCACATTATGCAGCTGCTGACAGCATTGCTAAGAGCAACAAATACCAGGAAATCTCAAAACCCTGACCGTGTTTTTCTTAATCATATTTTTGTCAATTATTTCTCCACAGGTTTAGAAACTTGTCTTCACTTTCAAAAAAAAAAAAATTCTACCCCTGGGGAGGGGAAATTAAGACCTCAAAACCAAGTACAAATTGCTCTTTTAAAGAATGGGAATGAAAGATACGGGGGCTTTTCTTCCTTAAAAGCTCATCACTCTGCAGAAAGAATCCGAATGCTGTCCTGATTCTTCTTGGGCACTGGAGCAGTTTTGTGTGTGTGTGTGTGTGTGTGGGGGGGGGGGGGTTGTTAGTTATTTTTAATTAAAATTTTTAAAAAGCACCATTCTTGAGAAGCTGTTGCTATGAGACTTCCTGGGCCTCAACAGATGGCCACAGAACAGTGCTCAGCCCCAGCTCTGGGCTCTGAAGCCCTCCACTCAGGCATACCATTAACATTCCTGAAATACCTTCGGGGGCAAGCCGGGCCTGCCGCCTTCTGACTAGCTCACCCGCAGCTCCTGGGCCGGCCTCCCTTGTCAAGCGGCCGAGCTGAAATTTGTTATAAATGAATGATCTGGTCTCTCTAGGAAAAGTCCATAGCAGAGAGGTCGCTGTCCGTCTCAGTTTAGGCTTCAGACAAACTTTTATCCCACATCCCTGGGGTTTTGAGCTGGTCAGGATTGCTGCTGGGCACACATGTGTAGGCAGGCACACATACATGTGCACAAGTACACACATATGCACATACACTCATAAAAGCACACCACACTCCACACCTAATTCATTCCATTGTTTGTAAGCCTCTGAGCCGCTCCCAGTCACAGAGCGATCCCATGAAGAGAGCAGCACATTTTTGGACAGTAGCATTCTTAGTGCCCAGACAGAATTGCTGAGGGAGAGGTTCGAAGGATTCCGGATTTTTCTTTTGAGAAAAAGACATAAAGAGAAAGGGAACTGCATGGCAGTAGAGTGTCTACTTTCTCGCTAACTTCTTGGTGCTGCTGGACAAATCATTCCATTTCATCGCCTTTCTCTGTCTTCCAAACTGGGCCAAAGACTTTACCTCCAAGTATCAGAGAAAGGAATGAATGAGCCATGATTAATAAACGACTGGGAAATTACTGTATAAATATAGGATCAGGGAGGGCCTTCACTGCTCCCAGGGAAGAGAGAAGAAAGGAACTTGGAGACCCGCACCCCCGGCTCTGATTGCTGGGCCCACCGCCCCTGGAGGGCTGGTCCGGAATGCTGACCACTGTTTTTGGTGGGAAGGGTCTACTGGTAACTTTACTCGGCCACCAAGCAGCTTTGGTACTTGGAAAAAAACAAGTAATTCTAAACAGCCATAGCTTCTCAGGGTGGGGCTCATTTAAATTCCACCTCCAGGTTGTGGCTTTAAACCGGGCCTGGAGTGTACAAGCGAAGTCCTACTTAAGTGTCTGACGCCAGGGCTCACTTGATCACTTGACAGGACGTCAGAGCAATCCTGCCGGTTTCAGTTCACGAAGATCCCTAAGAGCTTTTCTCCCAGTGATATCAGATGATATGCCACAACACCGCCCCACCGCCATCAGCTGACGCTCATTTTTTATCTAATCTGTCCAACTCAGGGGCTAAATGAGTCCAGACTGCTTAGGTTCCTGCCTTTCAAAGTCATCTGTTTGTCCTGAGATGTGGACATTGGAATTGCTGGAAGTTTTTCGTTTTTTAAAAAAAAAAAAACCTTTGAGAGGTTTGGCCTAACAAAGAGTGCCGCTTTTTTTGTATTAACCAGTGACATTTTTTAAAAAACATTCTTTACTGTTGAAACTATTACATTTGTCCCTTTTCCCCCAGGCCTTCAGCACCCTATTGTCTGTGTCCATGGGTTATGCATTTATGTAACATTGACATTTTAATGAAGCCATCTATAGAGAAGTGCAGATGAGGAAACTGTTTCTTTGCCCATGTGTCTAGGGCTAAGGGACCCAGCTAGCTTGTCCTTTGCACATGGAGCAAAGGGAGGTCTTGCCCAGCTGTTCATTCAGCCTTTAGCTCGCAGGCTGCCCAGCTCTGAAAAGTCAAAGAAAAGCTGAGATCCTCCGGCTGTTTTTGAGGAAGGGAAGCCTAGAGAGGGAGTTGCTGGGAGGGAGGGCTGACGTATGCAGCTTCTATTTGCATAACTGACCCTTTCAGACAGAGCCAGTGGGACACAGTGTGTGTCTGGGAGGCGGAGGCCCAGTGTGCGCTATTGTGAGGGACCCTCACCGCGCAGCAGCTGAGAGCCCCGCAGACATTCCACAGCTCCAGACAGGAGACTTTTAAAAATTGTCACTGGGGGAAAATGTATTTAAGATAATTAATCCCTTGCCCCAATCTAACTCTCTAATGATACTGTTCTTGGGATGAAATAATGTATTTTAGTTAACACTTGTGTTAAATTACATAGTTGGGGGTCCCTGGTACTCTGCAGATATGCACAAGGGCTTTCTATACTCAGTTTAAAATATGGGTTTTTTTTGTGACTTTATTTTCTTTTTAACTAGCTATAGAAGTTTTTCAACTAGCTCTCTCTTCCTTTCTGTACCTCTTCAGGACACAGAGTTGTTTTTTGTGAATAGTGTATTTTGGCTTTTTTTTGAGATAGTGATTAGGGCTGAGGTGGTATTTATCCTTCCCCATATGAAAATGACTTATCCTTAATCCAGGAAATCATCTTTGATTTATACACTTTCTAGGTGTAATTCATAAGCGAAGGTAGAATTTTGAAATTTAAGTAAATGCTAAACATACATTTATTTAGCTTTCCAATGTCCATTTCTCCTTCAACTCTCTCAATATTTATAAATCCACTTAGTATCTACCTACTAACCAATCTAATTTTTCATTTATCACCAACCATCTGTCCTGTTTGCACGCACTTTATATTAAAAATGATTGCTGTAGGCTTGTGTGATGATCCCATTTCACCCCATGGGGAATGTCATTTCTGATGCTTTTATTCATCAAAGCAGCCATTTTTAGCATTACTGACATGTTGATCTTATTATAGAAAAATGTTTTTACAAAGATGAGTTAGAGGAGAAAGATGGAAATTTCCAACTGGCTATGAACATTGGAAGAAAAACACACATTTCAGGATGATTAACATAGATTTCAAGTGAATGGTTCCTGAATGCTTATCGCTTCTTTTCGCCACCGCTATTTGGTCTCTATTACTGTTTGCTACTTGAACAGGTCATTCAGAATTAGAGAACGCCCTTGTTTCATGAAGGTGTTTATAGCTTCGGAATTAATAAGATGGGAAAAGTAGTCTCAGAACCTCTTTGGATTTACAAATAGATCTTTATTCACTTACAGCAAGTTTTCATTTTAAAAAAAAATCAAAAGGAAAATTACTTCCTCCCTCTCAGGACAAAACAGGCAGGACTGTTAAGCACTAGTCCCAAACCACTAGTCTTCTCACCAACCTTGGATTACGAAATCCTAGAGTGACAACTATGCTGACAGCAATCCCAGGGGGAAGACAGGAGGGTCCTTGATGCATTTGTCAATCAACTTACAAGGAAAATGAAATCAGAGCAGAGCTTAAGTTCAATCAGAATCATGGCTTAATATTCCTAAGGATTTGTTGCTCCAATTTGGGTGCTAGCATTTAGAATCTGACTCTCTCTCTTGAGCATAAGGATGAGTGGAGCGAAGCAAGACAATCAAACCCCCTGCTAATTTACTAATTCCCCAATGTTGAACAACTTCCCCGATGTTGAACAAACCTTAAAAAGGAAAACTGTTTTCATATTACAAGAGAAAAAGTTAAAGATAGCTTTAAAAATAAGTGGTACTTAGAATGAGACTAGAAATCCTGGGGTGGCATAATTGGAAGGAGCTAGAATGTTCAGCCTAACTTTCTCTTATACAAACCAGCACATAGTGTATTTGCTGGCTCTAATTAAAAGTTACTTTATTCTATCTTCACTTGAGCTCCTGGTCAAATAGGAAGGAGTACACAATGAGGTGTCAATTGTCTGCAAGGGTTACAGTCATCTGACGGTACCCTCGTCCACATTCACATCTTCACTGATTATGCCTTGGTATCATTTTGCAAGCACATCTGACAGCGAATAATTTTGTGATTTCATCACAACAGCCTAACCTACACTTCCCCGCCTCTCTTTAGTTTACCTTCTCAATACCGGCCTTTCTGACAAGATACATGTGGAATATAATGTCGAGAAATATCTGGTTTAAAAGGGACTTACCTTAAGGAAGTCTAAGCTAGCATGTCCACTGTCCTCAGAGGTCTGTTGGACATCTCTGTGCAGGGTGACACTGGGCCAAGCTGGCCCACCGAGGGGGGCTCAGTGGCTTGGGAGAGGTGGCATCGAGGCACAGCTCCAGCCCGGAACGAATCCACAGGAGCCAGCGCCAGGAAGCGGAGAGCTAAGAAGACACAGGTGTCTGACACCACCGGGCACCTCAGCTCCCAACCTGCAATCCAACGGCTGCCCTGATTAGCCAAGTACAAAAGGCAGTTCGGATTACTGCCCTCCTCCCAGCCAATCGCGGCCCGCACGCCTGACAGCAGCCCCTGATGGAAGGGGAAGTACACGCGGCCAGAACCTGAGAACCGGTTTCTGCAGTGGCGCTGGCAGCCTGGTCGGCGCGCTCCTGTCCCACGCGGTGGAGAGCAGTTTGTCAGGCTGTTGCAAGAAGAGCTTGTGGTAACGGGTAAACCATGCCCTGCCCTTCTCCAAAGAGCGTCGCTCTAGGTTCTTTGACTCCTAAACAACAGGGTGCACTGTGATCTGTGATGACAATTAAGTGAAGGTAAGAAAGAACGACCCGCCTTGGTAGCTTTCACTGT